CAAAAATTCAGTATGCAAGAGAACAACATTCTGTGCTTGTTTAATGTTGTTTAACCAGTGGAAACAAAGTTCACTGATTTGAAATGCAAGCAACATCAGTGGTGTCAAAAATTAGAGGGTTATCGGCAGAAAGCCCACAACTACAGTATTCACAACAGATCAAAGTTCACAGGAAGTCTTTACTGTAAATGCAACAGTTTAGATCAGAAATAAAAAAGAACATGAATTTAAGCAATTGGTTGGGTTATTTACAAGATTACATGCCTTTTTAGTACAAATATAGAAGTAAAATGCACGTACTTTCAGATTAAAATATATTTTCATATTGTTATACTCATATTTAAAAAAAATGTCTTTAACCACAGCAAAATGCCATTTGGGTCCTTAAGACGTGCCAAGAGAGTCCAAAATGATCACTTATGAATTAACATAAAATAATTATTTAGCATGTGAAGAATACAGAGAAAATTACATAATAAAACAATAACAAAATACCTCCTAAGTCTATTATAGACATAGCTAAGTGCTACTATGAAGCATTATATATTCCACACAAAAAAAAAAAACAATAAAAAACTTTTGTTTGCATCAGGTATTGTTAGCCTCAATTTTCATCAGTCTTTTCTAACCGGTGACTACTTTTAAACTGCTGACCACATCCATCACTCCAACATGCATGTGCCACAGAAACTGTCACATCAACGTTAGCTTGAATCATTTAACGGTTTCCTCTCACAAAACAGACAGCAGTTTCTAATCCGACTTTAAGGGACTCTGTGTGCATTCAATTGAGTGTGAGCCATTTGTATGTTCCCTGGCGCCCTCAAGAGGATGAGGAGCAGAGTGCGATCTGCTGGACTGTTCCCAGGTCAGCCAGGAGCTGTCTGATGCGATGTTTCAGCTGAGGGAGGTGCGCCAGTGGATCTGGAGGTTCCAGCTCACCTGTGTAGTCTAGCCAGCTCTCCAGCACTGCATTATGATATCGACATGTTAATACGAGCAAAGAAATTAGGTACATCCATCTGAAATTGTTTACTGTTTAAAGGTGCTGTATGTAAGTTTTTGACTCTACTAAAGCATAAAAATACCATAATATGTTTGCAGATATTTAAGAAACATGCTAAGTTAACATATTTGTTTATCTGAAAAACAATACTACAGTCAGTTATTCTCCTTTGAAAATGTGCGTTCCGGGCCGGAATGTCGGTCTCTGTTTTGATTTGTGAAATCCACCCACTGCCAGTTTACCCAATTGTATTTCGGCACCCCGGGTTGTCAGTTGGCGGGAAACATGGCGTATTTAATTTCAGTCATTGAAGCTGGCAAACGAAAGTGTTGGTGTTGTCAATCTGGCAATCTGCGTGTGCGTCAAGTCTGAGGAGGAGGGACCGGGTGAAAAAAACCCTCTCCAATATTTTGAATTTGGACTGCAATACCTAGTTCCACCACTCGGTGTCAATCCTACATACAGCACCTTTAAATATTTTTAAACCAGGGAATCTTATTGTAAAAGTCTCACCGTCTAGTTCTCGCTCAATAAGGTCCATTCTGTGCGTCACCTCGTCCTGCACTGTTTCAATGTGCTCCAGCAGGTTCAGCTGCCACTGCTGGTGCAGCACAAGGTCAGGGTCAGGCTTTGGGTCAGGGGTCACAGGGTCAGGCTCCTCTTCCTTGATTTCTACCACACAACTCTTTTCCTGCTCTGCGGAAACCAGTTGTTTCATACGGCACTCCAGCTCCTGTCAACAGAAACCAATGAGTCACATGTTTGGTGTGTAATGATGTTCTCACATTATTGATGACGCTGCAACAGCACTGTGACAAATTTTTAACAGACTTTGAGCTAATTTGTCGAGAGATATCAAACAGATTTGAACCCAGATCTCAAACTGGTATGAAAACAGATTCCGAACCATTTTAAAATCACATTGAACTGTTTTGACGACAAACAGTTGGTTTGAAAACAGATAAATCAAATATTTAGAAAACAGACTTCAAACTGGTTTAACAAAAGACAAACTGACTTACAGATCTCAAACTGGTTTGAAAATAGATTATCAACCTGTATGAAAACCGATGTTTTGAAAACAAAACTGGTTTGACAAATACAGATTTGACAACAGTTCTCAAATGGTTTTGAAAATTCTCAAACTGGTTTGAAAATAGAGTATAAGCTGGTCTGAAAACAGATTTCAAACTGGTTTGAAAACAGATTGTGGAAACGTGCCTCAGGATCAGTTGGGCTTGTAATTGACACACCTAGTCTGTGATTGATTGTGTACAGTGTGCACTAACAAACAAAAAAAACCATAACCGAGTCCTTGAATTTTAGGCCAAGTGCACAATAAAAGTTGCTTGTAACTTACCTTACTAAAGGAGCGGTCGGCCAGCTGAAGCGTGTGCTGGTCGTGGTCCAGCGGTGTGCCGTACCTCTGCTCGGCCATCTCTAGTAGGTCCTCTGTGCTCCTAAGACTGTCCTCAAGCTCAGAACCACACCGCGTCTCCACCACAAGTCTTCTCTCCACCGCTGGGTAGTACGTACGGGGCTTCTGGTAGCAGTGCTCGCTGCTAATGTACGAGTCCTGGAAAGAGCAATGCGTCTCCACAGGTGATGGGACTTCGCTTTTCAATGTCTCAAACTCATTCGCTCCCATTTCAGGGGGTGAGGAGGGGAAGGGAGTAGCTATGCCCGAGTCACCTGCCATCTTCCTCCGTAGGCTGTCTGCAGGTTTCCAGGGCTGCCGCCAGAACTTCAGGTCTGGATGGGCTTGTGTCCTAAAAAGAGGGCAGCTTTGCTTCATACCTCAATCTTTCACAATTTACTTTATTAGTCAAATAGTTAGGTGCATCAAGATCATTATAGCAGAGGAATTACTTACTGTAGGATGCTCATTTTGAGCTGAAGGCCGTTCAGGACTTCAAACACACGGTGGACGTCCCCCAGGAGCTGATGGGCAGCTACCACTTTCTTACTGTTCTGGTGGGAGTAGTTCTCCTCCAGGAAAGACAAGCCATCCATGTGACCGCTGCTCAGCCAGTCTTTATCATACCAGTACCTTTGACTCTGCCTCTGGGCTGTATACAGAAACACGCATATTTAAAAATTAACACAAAGCCTAACAACAAAATGTAATGAAGTGGTTGTCATATTTTGATCCTTGTTCTGTTTTGCCAACACACAAAGTCCAGACAAACGAACATCTGAGATGGTTTGGGGAAGTTCCAGTCTCTCACCTGGTGGGTCTCTGCAGATGTAGCAGCTGTAGCTGTCTGGCACACTGTCCTCATACAGTCCCATACACGTCCCATGCTGCCAGCACAAACACTCATCACACTGCAGAGAGCACAGGACACATCCTTCAGTCTCCCAGACAATTACTGAACATGCATATGAATCTTTAAAATCCTAATGTATCACCTCATTAAATAATTAATTATTCACAAAATAATTCAAGTAATTGTGCCAGTGCTTAATTGATTTAAATTCTGTTCTCAGATTTTTCTTCATACTATAACGACTTCCAGGAAACACAAAACTGACACCATCGGATGAGAAAAAAATTAACTGCATTAAGTTGGATGATTGTCTTCTGTAGAGCTCAACATTTACAGCTGATTCCATATTGTATCAACACTGATACTGAACTGAACTAACATTGATCTGACTTGAGCTGCTGTTCGTTAACAACATTGCTGCCTTTAGTAGAACTGCTTATAGCTGAACTGAACTTGTTTCATAATGATTGATCTGAACTGAATTAACACTGAACAGACCTGAGCAATGATGCTACGGTCTTTCAGAGCTGCTTTACAGCAGAATCTCAATTGTCTCCATAGTTGAGTTTCCATAATTGATTCAATTATTTTCCTGTTTTTATATAAACGTACATTCAGTGGGTATAGAAAAAAAATCACCCCCTTTAAAATAATAAAAATTTGTTGGTTTGCAGCCTGAAATGAAGACGGACAAAGTTTTTGTTTTATCCAGCTGTATTTATTCAGTGCAACTTATAACAGCCTAGTGAAAGATATAACACCAACATGTCAGAAAAAAATAAAAACAGAATCACTGAGTTGGAAAAAGGATCACCCCCTTGTGTCAGTATTTTGTTGAGCCACCTTTTGCTTTAATTACAGTCTTTAGTCTGCTGGGATTTGTCTCTACTAACTTTGCACATCTAGACTTTGCTTTGCAATATTTGCCCGCTCTTCTTTGCAGAACTGCTCTGTCACATGCACACAAGGACCACTCTTTGTCAGAAATTACTGCAGCTGCTTCAGAGTTGCTGTTGGCCTCTTAGTCACCTCTCTGACCAGTTTCCTCCTGGCTCTTTCATTCAGTTTGGAGCATTGATAAAGCCTTTGCATTTTTTTTTATCATCCATCTCCTGACTCGTGCTTGTCCACAACTTTATCCCGGAGATCTTTTGACAGTGCCTTGCCACCTATAGTTGACTGTTTGCTTCAGTTGCACTACCAAGGACTGAAATTGAAAGTCAAATGGCTTTGTGTGCCATTGAGAAGGTGATCATTTTTGAAAATTTTTAGGAGGGTGGTGATCCTTTTTCTGATTCTGTTTTTATTTTTTTCTGACATGTTGGTGTTTTATCTTTCACTTGGATGTTATAAGTTGCACTGAATAAATACAGCTGGATAAAACAAATACTGTCCTTCTTCATTTCAGGCTGCAAAAGCAAGAAAATGTGATTATTTTAAAGAAGGTTGATTCTCTTCTAAACCCACTGTGTGTGTGTGTGTGTGTATATATCTATCTATCTATCTATATATATATATATATATAGCAAGCATATAGCAATATTATATGTTGTTTATTATATTATATTATATTATATATACACTAATAATTCAACACATAAAAATATTTATTAAATTACAGTGAAATACCTGTATATATAAAAACAAATATGTGAAAGTTCTTAGTTTATTTTATAGGCAATTCAATCATGTTTATGGTCAAAACAGACTTTTTTAATTATGAAAAAAAAAAAACATAGAACAAAAACTCTTCAAAATGAAATTCTACAATTATGGGAAATGTGGGAGAAATTCTTCTAAAAAAAACAAAAAAAAAAACAATAATAAAAAAATTTAAAAAAAAGTAAAATTAGAGGGTTGAGGTCTGGTCTGATTTCAGAGGGTGGTAGTTCACCTGTATCATGAAGTCGTTCTCCTCCTGCACTTCACAAATACAGCGTACGATCTCAGAGCCGTGAGTGACCGTTTCCACGCCTTGCTCTGAGAGGGGCATATTCAGATCCAGCTCAGCGTCAGACTCGTCCTCACTCCATACAAGACTGTCTGAGGACAAATCACTGCTGCTGTCTTCACCTGGAGGAAACAAGAAGGACCACAATATACACTAAAGCAGCAGATTTGATCTGTTTTTATAATACCGTCATCCATGCAAGACAATCAGCTACTCTAATCACACACACGTTAAAAACACACAACACTAGACAGAAAAATCTACAGAGCGGCAATGACTAGACACATCTGACAGCGGACAACTAGTCAAGACACTAAAAGACATCAAGGCAGGAGAAAAACACAAAGCAGGAAGCTGTGAGTTCGGAGGACCTGCGTTCTGTGGTACCCACCCTGGCTGAGCATCTTTTCAGGGCAGTGTCCCGTGTAGGACCGGTGTGTGAGGGAGAGGGGCAATTTGTGGGCCGAATTCAGATTGCAGGGGAGAGGCTTTAGGCCAATTCTCTCCTCAGTGCTGTAACAGTGTGTCAGAGGAGGAAGAGCAGACACCACACAGGGTTAAACACAGACTGAGCTGTTCCTCACCGACGAGGCGGCTTGTAGATCTGATTCAGTTCTTGATGTTGTCAAGAGGGATCGGCAACCAAAACGCTCCTTTTGGGGGTGGCTGTGCACTTTAAGAGTCTATTAATAACTCAAGACAAATGACACATAGATTTGGTGTCCCAGCGCTGACACATTGTGCTGTGATTTAAATGTGTTGAGCACTTCTAAAATGCTTGAGAATTTCTATATTCAAAATTCAGTAATAAGTGAATTGAATAAATATTGGGTAAAACGAGTGTTTAATTTAAAAGACAATTTGTACATAATCTTGCATCTATTTTGAGTGGCATGTGGAAGAGGGAGTGGCTCTTATAAAGTAGCTTTTTTTTAAAATCTTGAATGGCAAATGGACAAAGAAATTAAATTGCAAATGTTCTTTAAAATGCCATTTAAAATGTGCATTTAAAAAATGATTTATTATAGAAATATTTGTATTGTTTTATTTAAATACATTTTAAAACATTAAATCATTTAAAATTATTTAATCATTTTTATTATTTTAACTAAATTTTAAATCATGAATTAAACAAGCAGTCTTAAATATGTCCATTAATTTGTTCATTTAAAAAAGGACTTAACTGTTTTCATTTTATTATTAAAAAATGCATTAATTCTTAAATGAAAAAAGATAGTCTTTTAAGGACAAGTTTAGTAATTTATGAACAGGCAGTAGTAATGTACATTATAAGGCAGTAATTATAAGGTAATAATTTATAAGGCAGAGTATCTTCCTACCTTATGAGGCAAAAAAACAACAACAACAACAAAAAAACGCATGTGCATCTTTATATTCCGTACAGAAGTTGAACTCTGGCCTGCAAATTCTCATAGTGTGAGACATTTGACAAACAGAGGATCTAAACATCACCAACTAAGAATGAAATATGTAAGAAACTCAAATTTTATCAATCCAACTTTAAAGAAATATAAAAAAAAATAACTTCAATTTAAAAAGCTGGATGGTTTTTAGAGTGGCATTAGTAGATGCTATATTTTTACATTTTAAATGTATAACTTGTTATAAATAGTTTATTATTTATGCCAAACAGAATCCCTAGAGCATGAGATCATATCCCACTGCTGGAATATACTGCCAGGTCTGAAGTAATTTTACATAATTGAGAAATACTTTAGAGAAAGCTTGCAGTTCCAGCAGACAAGCAGAGGGGACAGCAGAGAGTTGAAGACACACAGAGACACCACGGCACTAAAACAGCCGTCTCACCTGACTTCGACTTCCTTTTCTTCTTCTTCTTTTTCTTTAGTTTGATGCGGAAGAAATCCCTCTGCCGCTTCTCCCTCAGCCTCTCCCGTTCTTTCACTCCTTCAGATGAGAAAATCAATCTCTATTACTGTCATGGCCCGACTGTGGTAATGTGCAGAGGAATCAGCGTGAACGTGCACAGAAATGGATGGAATGATCACACTGTTCTCCAATACCTGTTTCCTTGGCAACCCAGTCTCTGTCGTCATGCAGCGAGCGGTTGAAGTGTTGGTTCTCTTTGCTCCTCTCTGCGCCCAGCGTGGCCGAGCGCTGCCGGTGCATGACGACAGCAGGGGGCGACAGAGTGTGACCTGACTTACTGTCACTCAGCGGAGAGGGAGTATCTGTGGGAGGAAGTTCATTTAAAGGGGTCATATGATGCGATTTCAAGTTTTCCTTTCTCTTTGGAGTGTTACAAGCTCTCGGTGCATAAAGAAGATCTGTAAAGTTGCAAAGACTAAAGTCTCAAATCCAAAGAGATATTCTTTATAAAAGTTAAGTCAGCCACGCCTGCCTAAAACGGCTCGTTTTAACACACCCCCACATGTCTACGTCACTATGTGGGAAGATTTGCATAACGCCGCCCAAATGTTCACGCAAAGAAAGAAGGCGTAACTTTACACATGCTTTTTTTGATTTTACCCTTCTTGTAATGTGTAATATAGCTGTTTAACGTGCATGTAAAGCCTTTTTTCCACACAATTGCGGGTCTATATCTCACAATTCACTTTTTTTCCCCACAGAATTGAGAGTTAACATGTTTCAATTCTGACTTTAAATTTTCCCACTAAGGGAAAAAAAAAGAAAAATGTAACTGACTATTTATCTCACAATTCTGACTTTTTTTACTTGTAATTACGAGTTCAAGTCATAATTGCACGTTTAAGAGTCTGTATTTATTTTCTCTCAGTTCTGAGTTTACATCTCGCAGTTCTGTTTCTCTTGTTTTGCCACATGGAAAAAAAATAAAAGGAACTGCGACTTTTTATCTCACAATTCCGAGTTTTCTCCTCAGGGGCCATTTACACAACATCGTTTTCAACTAAAAATTGAAAACTTTTTATGCATTTTGGCTGAGCACTATATGGGCACGTTAATGATGCTAATGCAAGCAAACATAAATATGGACAAAATGTCAACAGACTTGATCGGCAACCCAAACAAAAACAAACACCCACACAAACATCTAAAGTAAATACTGATAGACAAAGTGCACTAACGGTGGGAAGCCGAGACGGTCCGGCGCCTGCGAGGGGTCTCTTTGCTGTGGATCTGTTTGTCTGAGGAGCGCGTCTGGATCGGTGGGCTTGGGTCGCTCTGTGCGTGATAGTACTTCATGTGGTAGTGCAGCAGGGACGCCTTCCGGAAAGACTTGAGGCAGCCTGCGATCTTGCATTTGAACGGGTTGTGGTCCAGCTCAATGGACAGGATAGGAGGCGGCTGGTTTTTGATGACCCTGTACACTGAGGGAGGAAAAGGGTAATGAGGTCACATACCGGCAGGTTTTTATACTGTATCGGTGAGAGAGAGTGAAATCGAGGGCTGTGTACTCACATGGTTCTCTGCTATACTTGTTTGTGGTTGGAAGGTGGATTGTTTGCGGCTGTTTGACTGCTGCAGCTGAGAAAGCAATGTGCTAGTTAGCACATCATATATCTGCATAAATGTTGAATTAACAAGATTTGTACATATTCTGAAGAAAATGTGAGTGGTGCCTTGTGCAAAATTCTATTGGTGCTATTAACATTTGAATTAACACCAGACTTATTAGTGTAAATTATTACATGTAATAATGACTATAATAATAATTATGTGAACGAAGTTCTTAACCTGCAGAGGTTGCCAATGGACTGGCGACTGTTGTTGTTACACATTTGTCACAGGATCAAATCCTTATTTATTTTTTGGCAAAACTAGATTGGATTTAAATACATTTATTTTACATTTACATTTATTATTTGACTACTTCATTCACTTTTTTATGATACAACGCTACAGTGACTAATTTCAAACATGTGGATGCAGGGGTTTGAAATCACAATAAAGAACAATTCTTATAGTTAGAAACATATTGATGTATTTACACATTGTAATTAAAGTCTACTTTACATTAACCTATGAACTCCATTAATTTCTTCATCTTCAAATGTTAAACCATCAAGATTTTATGATGATGGAAAAATCGCAGAGCCCTTAAAGCTTCTTCTTTGTTGGCAACAGGTTTCTAAAAGCTTCTTATTACAAATCTGGAGGAATGAGTGACATATGTTGCATAATTAAATTGAGTAATCATGACAGCCCTAACAAATTACATTTCAAAATATATTAAAATAGAATTATTTTAAAGGTGCAGTAAGCGATTTCTGAGAAACGCTGAAGAAAGTGGATCGGACCGAGCACCAAAACACACTTGTAGCCAATCACCAGTAAGGGGCATGTCCAGTAGTGATGGGGGAGGTGCCTGTGTTGAATAGCTTGTTCAGAAATTTGGGGGCGGTGGCAAGATAGGGGGGTGATTCTTTTGGGTAAGATCGCAGAGCCCTTAAAGCTTCTTCTTTGTTGGCAACAGGTTTCTAAAAGCTTCTTATTACAAATCTGGAGGAATGAGTGACATATGTTGCATAATTAAATTGAGTAATCATGACAGCCCTAACAAATTACATTTCAAAATATATTAAAATAGAATTATTTTAAAGGTGCAGTAAGCGATTTCTGAGAAACGCTGAAGAAAGTGGATCGGACCGAGCACCAAAACACACTTGTAGCCAATCACCAGTAAGGGGCGTGTCCAGCAGTGATCAGGGAGGTGCCTGTGCATGTTCAGAAATTTGGGGGCAGAGGCAAGATAGGGGTGTGATTCTTTTGGGTAGGGGCGTGTTTGTTTTGGTGATTTCAAATATCAGCAGCATTTCTCAGAAATCGCTTACTGCACCTTTAAATTGTAATATTATTTCACAATAGTACTTTTTTTTCCTTTGGTGAGCATACGAGACTTCATTAGAATAAATAAATAAATAAATACTCACCCTTAGTATGAAAAATAGCAATAATGATTCAGTCTTAGCAAACACATCTGATTATCAAACTGAAACACAGGAGGATGTTTACCAAGATCAGGTGTGGATCCTGCCTCCTCTTTGGGTGCTGCATTTTCTGCATGACTGGTTGGGCCATCTTTACTTTCTAAAGTCTCTGGGACAGAGTCTGATGTAACCGGTTTGATTTGGGATTGACTGTTTCTGTCTATGAGGGGATCAGAGACATAATGTCCAGTCAGATGGTTTAAACGCCAACCAGTATAAAGAATAACAGCTGGAAAGAATGATCAAGTGACAGAGAGAGTGAACCTGTGCTTGAATTGGCTCTGCTCCTTTTGGACGGTGGCATCTGTCCTGTTGATGCACGTCTCTTCCTCAGTTCTGGACCACTGGACTTTTCCACATCAATTCCTGTGAGAGACACAAGCCAAGAACTTGAATCATCAAGTCTGAGCCTTATACATGAGTAAATCACCCAACAATCCTTTACTTTCAGTCCTTACTGGAATAACTTACCAGACTCTTGACATGGTTAAAAATTCTTCATGGTTGAAACAGCATTTTAGTCATTTTTATCAGTTATTTTCTGTTTAGGTGGTATACACTACTGTTCAAAAGTTTGGTAGGATTTTTAAAATGTTTTTGTAATAAGTCTCTTATGCTCACTAAGGTTGCATTTATTTGATCATAAATACAGTAAAACGGTAATATTATGAATATTACTACAATTTAAAATAACCGTTTTCTATTTGAATATATTTTAAAACGTAATTTATTCCTGTGATCAAAGCTGAATTTTCAGCATCATTACTCCAGTCTTCAGTGTCACATGATCCTTCAGAAATCATTCTAATATGCTGATTTGACCGCTCAAGAAGCATTTCTGATTATTATCAATGATGAAAACAGCTGTGTTGCTTCATATTTTGGTGGAAACTGTCGTCATATTGTTTTCAGGATTCTTTGAGGAATAGAAAGTTCCAAAGAACAGAATTTATTAGAAATAGATATATTTTGTAACATTATTAAGTAACGGTAAAGCAATCTCCTCCAATGAGGAAAGACCAAAATCTCCATATGTCAAATCAGCAATAAACTTGACAACAACAGTCTCGCAAAATAGCTTCTATAGCTCAAATCATTGGTCCAGCTAACAGACACACATGCTCTGGTGTAAACAAACCGACACTGCCTATCAAAAAAGCAATTTGCTCTTTTAACTGAAAGGCAGGACTCCCTGTCCTACAGATATCACATAGAGCATTATGATTTCTCCCATTCATTTTTATTAATTTGCTCCATCTCCTCTCTTCACACTGTCTCTCTTTTTTGCTACTCAGCAAATGCTGTCCGTTGGTGTGCGTGTGAGGTTGAATCTGGCTCTTGGAACTGAATCATAACCAAATCAAATATTCAGATGTAACACCATGTTTCTCCAAACCAAACTCACCATCTGCCATCCTACTCCTGGTCCTTCTGGGCAGACTGGGGCTTTCATCGGTTGCTTCTTCCTTCTCTTTCTGGTCTCCGTCGTTCCTGTCAATGCCATTTTGAAGTGTTTGGGACTCCTCCTGTCCCCCATTCATCTCTTTCTCCTCTGGTTTGTTCGATTCTCCATTCTCATGCGGTTCTGTCTTGTTTTCTTCACTGGGCTGTTTTTCGTTGTGCTCAGCAGAACTCGGCTCGGATTGATTCAATATCTTAGTTTCAGTGCTTTCACTTTCTCCATTTTGGAGAGCTCTGGACTGATCCATTACTGTGGCGTCTTCTTCATCCTCCTCCGATTCGCTCTCTCCATCCTGGTCAGACGTGCTGTGTCTCGAGCCGTTACTTCTGCTGTTGCCGTTCTCCTTGGCCTTCCATTTTTTCCCGTTCTGATTGCCCCGCTTTCGAGTCTGCTGATTAGTCTTGCCTTCAGAGCTCTGTAGATAAAGACAAACTCATTAAACCTGTTTTTAATGGCCTGGTTTAATAATTATTGGAGCTGAGGCAATCGCTTCTCACCTCCTTGCGGAATGGCTTCACCTTAATCCCCTTCACCGTCTTTATGACTCCATCAAAAAACTTCACTGTGTAGAAACCTGAGACATCACAGAAGCACAGCCTTTTGTAATGCTCAACACTTCCATAATATAATGGGTGTAAAATACATATCTATGAAAGATGCACTGATAATAAAATTCTTGCTGATACTGATTAACTGATTTATTGTCACGTTATGGCGAATAAAAATAAAATTCTATTGTATAAATATGTATTTAAAAACTTTAAAAAGTGAATTTAGGCATCACAACATTATAGTTAACAGTATGAAATATAAATATTTAGAGACTGCCTATATTCTATTTTCTGAAAATCTTATATTTTACATTTACTATTCACATTTATTAAGTTACTAGTGTTTTTAAATTTTAACATGAAGTGAGCGTTACGATGACAGCAAAGTTAATAAAGTAAAAATACAGGAAATGAGCAGCACAGATAGATATGCAATATTAAATATAGATATGTATATACTACTTAGGAGTGTGTGATATACTGTATATATTGTCTACGATAATATCATAATTGTTGTTTAAACGATATGAGACTTGACATTATCGAGTATATTGCAAAAACCAAACAAAAACACACCCTGAGAGTGCACGCATACACTATGAAATAAGTTAGGCTACTGCGCATGCGCATTCGTTAAGCCTAATTCAGACTACATGACTTTAAACGTCGGTAGATCGCGGTGTTGTTCAGACTACATGACATGCTGTCTGTCTTGAGTCGTTGAGGTGTTCACAATACATGACACTACGTAAATGGTCACACACTACATGAGCTGACAACAACTCTGTCAGCCAACTCTACACGGTCCCCAAACCACGTTTTCTCATGAAAACACATGCGAGAAGTTGAACGGGAATGACGCAAAACAACAAGTGAAACAGGAGTTGTTTATTTAAAAATGGATGTCAGGAAGAAATTAGTGCTGCAAGCTGTTTGTGTGATGATCTGTTCTGAAAAAAACTGATGCATTTCTTGTGTCCAAACTTTTCTTAAAGCTGTGTTGCTGCTGCGGTTTTTCTTCCGCTGTTCTCAACCCATGCCTTGCTCATTGGCTGTAGCACGTTTTTAAAACATCAAAACATTAATTATGCATTTGTAACTGCAGGTTAAATGCATTCATATCCTTCATTAAAAAGTCTGTGTGAATGCATCCAAACGCCACTTCAGATGCAGATTCTGTGCACCTCTTCAAAATTTGTGTTTGCAATGTTGAATTTTTTGCACAAATTTCATTTGATTGGTAACAGCCATATAGTGTCCTACTATTTTAATTTATTGATTAAATGTAAGAATTTGCCACAAAAGATGATGCATACATTTAATTAGGTTAGAAATAAAATTGCCTTTATAAAAGGTAAAAATGCCCATAAAAGGTAAAAATCTATTTAAACTTAAATATAAATTTCTGTTAGTCCTGCAAACTAACCACCTCACAGAATATGAAGGATATGAAAAGCTTTGGGAATCAGCTGTCCACGGCAGTCCTAAACCTGCCAAAGTACCAGCACAATAACACGCTCAGCAAAATAGCGTCTCAGCGTCTAATTATCCCTATATAGAAAATATAGAGATATAATTTTTTGTCATTATCGCACACCCCTAATACTACTCCCCAAAATTTTAGGGTTAGTACGATTTTTTTTTATGTTTTTGAAAAGGTCTCTTATGCTCACCAAGGCTGCATTTAAAAAAAAATCAAAAATACAGTGAAAATAGTAATATTGTGAAATATAAATACAATTTACAAATATATCTGCAAGCAGCGATCATGGGCCCAAGCCATCAAAAAAAGGTTAATACATGTTGTAAAAATATATTGTTCACTGTTAGTTCATGTTAGTTAATGTATTAACTAATGCTAACAAATGAGACCTTATTGCAAAGTGTTACCAAAACTTTTAATGATTTATAAAAAAATTTTAAAAATGATTTTAATGATCTATATGCATTTGTCAAATAATTATATAAAACTATAATACCAGTATACCTGTAGTACATATTAACTTATTTTATGTATTTGTTTGTCAATCTAACTAATTGAACTGAGCAGTAAAGGATCAGGCTTAAAAGATTTCTTATCCTGTGAGTGAGAGAGGGTAAGATATATAAAATTTTCAATGATCTATAAGATTTAAAAAAATGATTTTAATGCTCTATAAGCATTTCTAAAATAATTATGTAAAAGTATACTGACAGTACAGTACATATCAACTGATTATATACATTTATAAGTCATTCTAATTAATAGAGAGTTGGAGACTGAGTTGAACAAGATTAGGCTTAAAATATTTCTAATCCTGGTGGACAACCTTAGAATTACAGCCTTCATCTCTCAGCTGAACTGTCTGATAGTTTTTAATTTTCTGCTGGTCCCGGATTTTAAATTTACAAAACTAAGCATGTTTCCTCACAATGACTTGTTCTCCATTTTTTTGTTTGGGAAGAGTTTGGATAATGCACTTTAAAGATAAGAAAATGACTTATCTTTTTTTACTGTTATTTTTAATAAATTGCCATGGCAACACCGTTCAAGATATCCAAAAATCCGTTTGCAATTTAGCATCTTCAGTAGTTTGAGTAAAAATAAGGCTGATTTCAAAGCATTTTGAAAATGACACACTTCCTATTGCCAGTTGGTGGTGCTGTAAATGACTCCTAAGTCACATCTATGTGATCGGCATTATACAACGAACAATCTGCTGAAGTTTGATCAAAATCAGACAAAGTGTGCAAAAGTTTTAGACACTTGCCGTTTCTAATTTCTCACCATATTTTTTTTGCCTCGCCATGGCCAAACTGCTCGAGATATCAAAAATCCCTTTTATTTAATAAAATCCCTTTATTAAAATTAAAGCGCTGACTGTCAGAAAGAAAGTTGTTTGGCCTGATGAGATCTATATGTGTATGAATTTTGGTGACTGTAGGTCAAATGGTTTGCGCTACAGAGCCCTTCAAAAATGGCCTTATTAAAGGCTGTGCCACGGTGTCACATGATCCTTCAGAAATCATTCTAATATGCTGATTTTAAGGGTGCTCCGATCAGGATTTTTTGGGCCGATCACCGATTGTTGATCACAGGAAGCAGTATCTGCCGATACGATCACCGATCTTTTTGAAGTCTTCCTTTTATCATGTAGAGTTAGTTATAGTGATGCTCCAGTCAGGATTTTTACAGACATTCATTCAGGGCCTGAATTTCATTTTTGAAAATTAATTAGGGAATTACCCTCTTAGGTGACTCTTGTGGGGGGATTTTTTAATTTGAGGGGGGCTTTTTTTTTCTTTTTTTTTACATTTTTCAAAAATATATAATTATCTCACCTAAATGTTTGATCATGCAGAGCATTTTTGTTTTTTACAATGGGGCAATGGTTGCACAATAGCTTACACACAGCACAAGCCTGATTTCTTGAGCTGTATGTGAGGCGGCCTCATGCCAGGTGCATGAGGCCGTAAGTATGCAGTAAGTGGTGCAGAAGCAGCACGGACTCATTGTGCTTTTACACAGGAGTCCGCTACTGATGCGCGGCTGTTTACCACAAACACAACATTTATCCATTTTGATTATAAATCCAAACATTGTTACTGAAAATGCTTTTTGAGCATTCTGATTCTCTTTATGCTGTACAGTAATACAATCTTTCATAGACGTGTTTAAACGCAATAAATATAAGCAAGAGTATGTGTGAACCTGGCATTATGTGTGCGCGCTTTGAGTGTGCATGAACGCACCGTCTCTAGGAGAGCGCGCAAGTGCTGAATGGTTTAAACACTGGCAAGAATTAAAAAGAAATGAAAATTATAAACTTTAGTGACGATGCAACACTGCCTCGATTGTGCAAGTGACAATTCCTGTGTGAACTGTGCAGCTCGCCTATTGTGCAGACGTGATGTGGTGGTTTGAAACCATTTGCGCATTTAGAGAAGGAAAGAGAGAGCGCGTGTTGATTCACTCACGATGTTTGTGAAATTACATTTCACAGAAAGTTTTCAAATTACTTTGTAAGTTATTTACTGAAGAAATATGAATTGTACCTCACCATCAGCATTATAATTATTTTACCCGCGCCGGAGAGATGACAGGACAGAGACGGTGCCGCTGCATGTCATGCTGAACCTCTCACAGCAGTCGCGTCGGCCTTTATAGAGACCGCCGATCAAACTTCCTCAAGCCATTATCGGCCGATAGCGATCGGTAGCCGATCAATCGGAGCACCCCTAGCTGATTTGTTGCTCAAGAAACATTTCTTATTATTATCAATGTTGAAAACTACGGAGCCCTGCACATGGCATGCAGTAAAAAAATAGTAGGCTAAGTCGTGTGCACGATTTACTAATTCGTTCCCTCGATTTATAAACTGTGCACACGATTTACTAATTCGTTCCCTCGATTTATAAACTGTGCACGCGATTTACTAATTCGTTCCCTCGCTTTATAAACTGTGCACACGATTTACTAATTCGTTCCCTCGATTTATAAACTGTGCACACGATTTACTAATTCGTTCCCTCGATTTATAAACTGTGCACACGATTTACTAATTCGTTCCCTCGATTTATAAACTGTGCACACGATTTACTAATTCGTTCCCTCGATTTATAAACTGTGCACACGATTTACTAATTCGTTCTGTGCACACGATTTATAAATCGAGGGAACGAATTAGTAAATTGTGCGCACGATTTAACAAATCGAGGAAACGAATTAGCAAATTGAGGGAACTAAATAGTAATCATGTGCATGTTTTAGTACATCGAGGGAAGGAATTAGCAAATCGTGAGCACGATTTATTTATTTTTTCTTGCATGTCATGTGCGGGGCTCCGTAGAAAACAGTTGTGCTGCTTAATATTTTGAAGGAAATTTTGATATTTTGTAGAAACTTTTTATTCAGGATTCTTTGATGAATAGAAAGTTCAAAAGAACATTTATTTGAAATCTTTTGTAACATTATAATTGTCTTTACTGTCACTTTTGATCAGTGTAATGCAACCTTGCTCAATAAAAGTATTCATTTCTAAATTAAAAAAAGGAATGGAAATATAGATTTGACTGTTTAATAAATACATATATAATTTTATAATTATTATAATGAATTTTAAATAATTATAATTTTTTTTTAATTAAACTTATTAAAATAAACTTTGAAGAATTTGAAGCTGGACCATTCAGAAGATAAACTGAGGATTTAGTTGTGAGTGTTGCGAGTACACACCATCTCTGTCCCGGGACAGGATCTTAGCAGGGTAGTACCGACAGTCTGACCAGCTGGCAAGAACTTTCTGGTTGACATGAAAGCCCTGAGAAGAGAAACATATCTATATATAATCTTGCAACATAATGAGTCAGAGAACAACTTTGCCCATGCAGACTGTGAGTGACTCAGCAAAGTTAGACAGGAAGTGCTTACTGGAGCGCTCTGCCGTTCAGGGAGACCTTGTTTTCGAAGCTGGATTCGTTCTACAGGTCTGAGGTACAGACTGCTCCAGTCAAACCACTCATCATAACGGTGACTCCACTGCCTGTAGTGAATCAAAACCTTCTCGTCTTCATAGTTGATCTTCTCAATGCTAGCTGCATACCTGTGAACACAAAACAAAAAGTTTGAAATGACCTACTTCAGATTATTTACAGGTCACATATGGGTCTCTAAAGTTGAAAAAGATCTTTGAAGGGGGTATTATGAAACAAATAAAATAAACTCAGATTTAGATTGCTGAATTTCAGATTTGTCCTGTGGGCAAATTTTGAACTTTTTCAAAAGTTCTGGAATGCAAGAGAACTAGTGGCATCAGCACCAGTGAAGCATCTGAATTTCAATCAGGCCGAGTGAATGAACGGATGGCAGAACGGAAGCAGAGGAAAGACACTGACCAGTTCTTCAGAGTGTCCCTGGCCTCCAGCTGCGCTCCCACCTCGAACGTGATCCCACGCCTGTGAGGAGGGCTCTTTGACATGCTGGTCATGCACTCACACACCAACCTATGAAACCAGACACATCATGGGGTCAGAGGTAAAGATGCTACCGTCATGGACAGCACAACCTAACCAAGGTGCTCATAAATAAATAATATCCTACAGCCAAAGGTACAGAATAAAGCCCTTACCAGCACTTTTTTGCACAACAATTTGATTAGACTTTTATTTGAAGCTGATGATTTCAAAGCTTATATTTTTCCCAATACAAATTTTATTTAGAGCCTGATTACAGCTGTCCATCGGTTATCTACCTTTTCTAAATGTGCTTAAAATATCATTTCAATGACTGACTTTTGGGTGACTGGAACTGTAATTTTTCACCTTCAAAAAGCTGGCATGAAAGTATAGACATTACAGGTTAGATAATATTGCTCACAAAATAAAAATAAATATTGATAATTGATATTGGATCTCTGCTATGTAGAGTGTAATGTATTCTCTAATTGATTAGTTCTATTATTTATGCTTCAATCAATTTGATTTTGGCAGCCGATACAGATTTCTTGTCATCTGAATCAGCTAACATATATCGACTGACATATGCCACACATGTCAAAAATATGGGTTACATGAGCTCTTTATATTTACCACATCTCTCATGCTGGTTTGTTTACAGTATACACACATCTTTTGCTTCAGGGTGATTTATGTTATGATTATGATTTTTAAATTTGATCAAAACTACACAATGCAAAGCATGACTTTAAAACAAATATTCATAAATCATACAACCACTGAACAGCAGAAGTAATCATAAACAGTCATTATAGATGTCCTAATGATGGGTCTTAATGATTACTGACTGTCTATCGAGTAGGGATGTAACGATTATATATATATATATATATATATAATCGTTAAATCATAAACATAGATGTCCTAATGATGGGTCTTAATGATTACTGACTGTCTATCGAGTAGGGATGTAACATGTAACGATATATATATATATATATAATCGTTACAAATATTAACTAATTAATTGCAAAAATAATTTCTGAAATGAATCATGATTAATCCCACCTAACATTAAAGTTTTTAAATATAATTTTATATTGCAATAATTTCACATTCAATCTTCAAATTAATGTAGAAACAACATC